AAAGGGAGGTGGGGGGGGGGGTGTTCAGAATTTGTTGCATTCGGTCTTGAGAGAGCCTCGGAGAACTCGGAGGCTCCCTACTTGCTCGTCTGCGAGATTCATGAATACTTCTAGGTCTCTCAGGCGAACGCTTGCACCACCAGTCCACTTCTCTCGTTCTACTAGAGGAGAATTGGTCTTGGTACTGAGCTCGACCAATCCTAAATTATCGAAAGTCATTTGAATCTTAATCGGATTCTAAACATCTTAATGTCAAACATCCAACAATGATCCGAACACACCCAAGCCTAAAAATACAAACACATACAAAACAAGATACATGTTCAATCCAAACTTAGTTATGTTTAAGTTATAAATTTGACGAAGTGTCTAGTTAAAATTCCAAAAAGTTTAGGCCCCTTGCAAAATTATAAGTTTATTGCAAATGTAGGACCTTTTTAAAAAACTTTTTAGAAAACCGATATTAAAAAATTGCTACACGATATACATGAAAAGCAAACCAAAGCCTCTGATAAGGTCTTATACTCTTATGTTTTCTCAAACCATCGGTCAGGCATCTTAATAACACTAAAAGTTTTAAAAACATCAAAATATCATTGCAAAATTAAAAAACAACAACATTAAAGGCATATCACTGTTGACAAAAAAAAAAAAAAGGCATATCACTAATAAAATTATTTATTTACATTAAGGTTTTTTAATGTATTTTATTATGTTATCGAATTTTTTTAATGTATTTTATTATGTTATCAAATTATTTTAAATATTACACTGACGGTTACTTCGGTTTTACTGAGCCTAGTACATATGATTTACATAATGAATTAATTAATGTAGTGACTATGACTATGTAATTTATTGTTGTTAAAGGTTTTTTCTTTTCTTTTTTCTCGGTAAACCATTGTTGAAGGTTAAAACCTAAAACTACATTATAAGCTGATTACGAAAGGGATAATATTATTTACCACTAAGAATTTACATATTAGTCAGGATGGCCGAGTGGTCTAAGGCGCCAGACTCAAGTTCTGGTCCTCGTAAGAGGGCGTGGGTTCAAACCCCACTTCTGACATTTCACTTTTCTTTTGTCCATTTAAGTAATTTTTAAAACACTAATGCAATGCCAATTGCAACGACAGTGAGTAATCTTCTCCACTTAAGTTTATATATTTTTTATTTTTTTGTAAACCTCAAATTTAAAGTATATAAGAGATGTATTTTAGACATTTACTTGATGTTAATTTTTTTTTTTGGTCACCTTAGTTGATGTTCTATGTTTGATTTTTTTGGTCTAATTTATATATTAATATATTATATACAATGCATTAAACATTTATTCAAACAGACAAATTATTATCACGATTCCAGCTAATATCAACAACAATTATAAGTTTATAACCAATTACTCTTTTTAAGAGCAAAAACTGAAACCCAATATATATAATTATATATATAGAAAAGATGAAATAGTGAGAACAAAGTCCGATTAAAACGTTATCGTTAACCAACTTTTTCACTACCTATGGTAAACCATTTCCACGAACCGAACCGAACCGCTCCGTTCTTTCTTAACCACTGATTCATTCAGAGTCTTTATCCGTTGGTGTCATTAACTCCGTCCCACCTAATGCCAAATCCGGAGCTGTTCCGGCGCCGTTGTACTGCTGAATCACCAAAACCGAAGCTCTCGTCGATGATTCCGGCGAAATCAACAAACTTCCGACAGGTCCAAGCTCTGGGCACTCACTGTTCTCCCTTATCGCCAATGCTATCTCTCCACCTGGCATCCGACCAACCAAAAACAGATTGCTCCGCCGCGCTTCCTCTATCGCCGATCTTACATCCACGGCGGCGTTTTCAATCCTTTTCTCCACGAACTTAATCGATTCATCCACCGACGACTTCTTCCTTATCTCAGACATAATCTCCTCATCCAATTTCGGATTCTTACTACTCTGATTCTTCTCGTTGTTACTGTCACGCACTTCCACATTAACAATCTCTCCGGCTCTCTCCGGCGAAACCACAAATCGGAAAACAGTTAAAACGATTCCTGGATGCTCCGCCATACGTAATCCATAAGCCAACGCTTCACGATCATCACGACCACCGAAGAACAGAACAACAACAGAGTAAGAAACGTCTTGAGCTGAGACTTGACTTGAGCCACCGAGTCCACGGTCAACGAATATACCAACTGAGCAAGGAGCTTCAAGCAAAACTCTCCGGTTCACCCAACGGTAATCGCCACGTGTCGTCTCTAACGAACCGTCCAGCTGCTGATGCTTGTGAAACGGGAGAATCACAATGGCTGCTCTTTTTCTTGCAGCTGTTGTGCAGATATCTTCGTGAATATCAGACATTGATGAGATTGCTGTCATTGGTCGGACATTGACTCTGCTCAGTTGTTGAAATGCTTGGAAAGCAACTACTACTTGGTCTGCGTCTGCATTGACCCCTCTTCTGTTCCAAAACGGCATCCCGTTTTTGCGGACTTTATGAACCATTAGAATAGCTGAAGATCTCTCTGATAGTTCCCGTAAGTGGAGAGCGTAAACGCAGAGTCCTTCGCCTTTTTCGATTCCTCTAGATGCTTCCAGGAGGTTTATTATTGAAGGAATGCTTCCGGCTCCG